AAGCATAGTCATTGATTGCAGTCACTGACCTATTTCTATTACTAGTTGATTAACCCGTAAAGACCTTGCGCTTCCGAAACCACGCTGTTAAGGCACTTGAAGCATACTTCAACATACTAACGTATTTCGCAATGAAACGGTCTCAGACGGAAGGAATTCGAAATTGAATAGGAATGCGACAGTAATTATGAGACAACCCAATAGAAGGAGATCGAAGGAAAACTTCATTGACTCAAGCATGCTGTGCCGATATTTCCTAGCTCTTTCTGGATACTACATAGCCGGCCGCAGTAGCACTGAAAGCACCATATACTTAAAGGCAAAGGTCGGGATTAGCTGACCTAACCAACCCTTTCGGTTATTTCTGTACTTGGTTACGCATCCGTACAGATGTCCCCACGCTCAAAATCTCGAACGGCGCGGTAAGAAGGCCCCAGGGCACGTACTATGCGCTATCGCCGCCTGGCCCCGCTACGGCCGCCCACCTTGGGAGGTGGTGCGTGCGTGGCTGGCATAACGTGTGGAATAAGCTAAGTTGATTGCCGTATCGACCGATAGAACGACTAACATTTGCAGAGAACTTGTTTGTACGTGCCTTTTTCTCAAGCCAGCCTCCTTCACTGCTAGTGGGGAAGAGGGCTTTGTTGACGGCCTTGTCGACGGTTTTTCTCAGTTTTTTCTCCTTTGTCGTTCCGCTTCGCAACTCTATACTCAGTTTCAATCGCCATAATATCCCCTTATTGAGCCCGACTTTTGCCTTTGAGACCAATCCCCACCTCGGAAGTAGAAGCACATGTTGCCTATATCAAAGTGGTATAAAGTGAACGAAGGTCAAGCGGTACGGCTTGCGTTCATTGAGCTAGGCACAACAAGTTGTGGTATATGTAGTGTGCGGCATCCTAGGCTGATTGGTGTGATATGTACAACAGCGAAGTGAATTTCAACTGAAGCAGCTTGAATGAAGGCCTATTAAAACATACAAAATTAGCGAAATAGAAGAGCTATAATCGACGTCTTCCAATTGGCGAAGAGGAAAGTCATATGAAGAAGTATGTACACGGTGCGGGTGCAGGCGCGACCTGGTCGCAAGACTAAGCCACACAAGCGTCGTCCACTGAGCCAAACACGAGCCACTTGGGCTCTCCTTACTGTGCCACTGAGGCCCTCACCGTCAAGCCAATTAATCTTCTTACGAGCCGCAACAGCTCCTATCAAACAATCCCAACAAAGCACGCTCAAGCGCTGGAACTTTGGAATCGGAGCTCTGGAACTGGAACTTGAGCTGGTGTAGTGAATCACGGTCCCCTTTCATTGGAGCCCTCCAGCGCAGATCGTTTGCCTCTGAAAAGCTTTAGCTTTAGCAAATAGTTTTCACGCCTAGATGGCACCGAGAATCCCAGAATTTGGACGTATAGCAGGTGAAAGAGGTTCTGTACAATTAGACACAAATAATAGTTTTTGTTTGTTAACTGCTGTTTTTGGCCGCAGTTCGCCTTGCAAATGTTTCACGAGTATGCTGGGTTGGTTGACAAAGCTTTCGCCCCAGGCGGGACTAGAGCCTGCATCTCTCGCTTTCGGGGCAAGTGCGCTACCAGTTACGCTACCGGGGCACCATTTCATTCCAACTCAGCTTCTCATGGTATACGTACCATAGCTTGTCAGCACTCACACGTATAACGTGTTGAGCCGTTTAGCCGATATCGGATCGAATATACAGCGCTGGAACTTTGAAATCGGAGCTCTGGAACTGGAACTTGAACTGGTGTAGTGAATCACGGTCCCCTTTCATTGGAACCTTCCAGCGCAGATCGTTTTCCTCTGAAAAGCATTAGCTTTAGCAAATAGTTTTCACGCCTAACTGGCACCGAGAATCCCAGAATTTGGACGTGAGGCTGAAAGCTTTAGCAGTGGATTTTGACTTGTTTTGTTTGTTAACTGCCGCAGTTCGCCTTGCGTCTCTGTTAACAAATCATAGTATATTTTTTTCCGAAAGCTGATCTCAAATCTACTTTGCAAATTCGACCACCGTTACCTAAACTTGTGAAACAAAATAGAGCAGCGTTAGTGGTCCGGGCTCACTGTCGTAAGGTGATGGGACGAGTTCCTCGACAAGTCCTTTCTTTTGGGCACCATAGCCGAAAAGAGCCCCCTTATCCACATTACTTGACAACCGCTCGTTTTTGCCTTTATGTGCGAAGAGTTTTGAGGAGTTCCTGACGGAACAGTTTCCTAAAAGCTGCACATTGTGTCACATCTGTATTACCCGCGGAACACTTGCATGATAAATAGGTGAAATACGTGCTCCGGGGATCCACCTTCCCAAGAGCGGATAAGTAGCCAGAAATGAGATTTTAAACAGAATTTGAAAAAAAACAGGTACATAGCCATCTACCCATCAACCCACCAGCGAGAACTATTTTGAGTCATGGGATGAATTAGCTTCTCGCTGTTCTTTTGAAAAATGGAAGCAACTTCTGGATTATATGACCGTATAATTTTAATGTTCCCGTTTCCTTATTTCCAAAGGGAAGCGTTCGAAAACACAATCAACAACAAGCAACTCTTCGGGTGTTGGCTGAGAGGATAGGGCATTCATAGCTAGCCCGCGTAATCAATGGTTGGACTAATTCTCAGAGTTCTCTAGAAATCAGCCAGAAACTTCGTTCGTCTGCCTACTTTTCGCGAATACTTGAGGTAACGTCGAAGCTTTTGCTTCAGGCGCTATTTGAACTCGCGCCCCACTAACCTGTCAAGTCTCGGCACAACTAACGCTACCGTTTCTCATCAGCTTTCCGAACACGGTAAGGAATGACGCCGGATACCTGGAGAACAAGTGCTATCGTGCCCATCAGAGAAAGGTGACGCGATAAACTACTCCACCAAATCGACTGCACTACATTGAAGCTATGCAAGCGGTTGATCGATTCGATGTGCTGGAGCTGGTCGTGAACTCTCAAAGTTTGCGTTAATGCCTGTAGTCAACAACAGATGTCATGTCAATCACCAGGCAAGTTATTGAAAACTGTGGAGAAAACCGACCCTGCTACCTAGCCTTCCTCGATCTTGAGAAGGCGTTCGACCACCACGACCCCTGCTCTGGAAATGGCTTAGAGCTAGGAACATGCTGGAACACCAAATCACTCTAGTGAGGGACATGTACAATGGAGCTAAGGCGGCAGTGCACACTCCGCACGACATAAAAGGAGGTAGACGTTACGGTTGCGGTGCACCAAAAATCAGCTGTGACTTCCTTTTTCTTCTTCCTCTTGACTCTAGAAGTTTGTGGAGGGGCTCATGGAGGGGTCACGGAAGAATGTCCTGTACGCTCACGCTGATAGCGAATGGCAGAAAAGAACTTCAAGATATGATGTAGAAGTGGCAGAAAGCGCTGGCAGAAGGTGAACCTGGGCTAAATGTCGAGAACAGCAAATACCTCAAATACCAGAACAGAGCTTTGAAGAGGGTACAGAGCTCACAGGGACGGCTGTGGTGAAAGAGTGGAAGACTTGGGATACCTTAGATATAAGAAGTATCTAAGAAATGAAAGAAAAGTAGATATTCGGATATAAGAATACTTTGGGAGCGATATGGCTACTGAAGGTACTGCTGATGGCCTGGATCAAGGCTGCATGTATGAAATGCAGTTGAACCACTGGAATCTTCTGTTGTCGAAGGTGCTTCGAAACGCAAAAAAGGAATGAATACCAGACAGTGGTGAGGCCTGCTATGTACACGGCAGTGAGTGTTGGCCCCTGGACACTTATCACGAAAGGCACCTTCACTCCGTTGAGATGAGGGCACTGAGGTGGGCCTGCAGCTTGACGTGGCTGGACAGAATCAGAAAGGGTGACAGAGTGGTCATCAAACTGTCTCTGTCCAGAAAACGAAAGATTCATGGTAGTTACTGCCAATGGTCATTCACAAAAAGCAAAGGAACGTTCACACCTATGTCAGGATCCCTTCGCCCTCTTCGTTTCCCCAGCACGCTCTCGACAATTCGCTGTGATCGTTCAAACGCCGCTACTGCCGAGGCTCAAATGCTTCTATTACAATGACTACGATCGTACGGCTGAGAAGTGAGAATGCTGTAGTGCAGTTGTAGCTGAGTGCATCTGTGCAGTGCGTATCCAGAACAAAAAGGCCAACGACAACACCGAATCAAAACCTACCCTCAAAAACAGCAGAGAAGGCTGCCTTGGGAGTAACGCATGTCAGAACGACTTTCCGCACATGCTGCAATTGATAAGGCAGTCAACCCAGCTGCCTTCACACCGTATTCCAGCCACGCATCTGTCCCCGTGATAGGCGGTCGCCAGGCGGCATCACTCTGAATACTATTCCGGGAGCGTCATTGCGATTCCGTTCTGAGTCAGAAGCGTGGCGTCACCCATCTTGTTGCAGTCCGAGCCACATTAGCGTTGGAAAGATTCTTTGACCACCTTTTCCCGGCCTGTGCCTCTGATGGTAACGACCACAAGGAGTCACAGAGAAGAGTTGGATGCCATCAAGAATTGCCTTGTCGAAGTCAAGACCTTTCCAAAACCTCCTGTAGGAGAGAATTGGATCACCACACGATCTCTGGTACCCTGTGGTAGTGCAGGACTGACGCTAGAAATGAAAGAAAGTAAAAGAAGGAAGTAATGTTTGATAAATGCCCTTGTAGCGGGAAGGATTCAGTCGAGTACCTGGCACGCGACAGGTACTACTGAGGGCCTCGTTAGTGAAGCTTAAAAATTCGATCAGTGGCGTGAAAATAGATGAGATTGAGACTGATGCCTTAGACAGAGGCGAGAGCATGTTTCCTAGTTTTCTCCCTTACTGGTGGTGGATTTGCAAGTATTGCGTCTTTCTACCACATCACCTCTACTATTTAAGAAGTTCGATGGCATTTTCTGGAGTAATCAGATAACAGAGATATCAAAGCATCCTTCATCGCATAGTACATTTTCTTCACTTCCTTTGAACCATACCTTGACCAAAATTAATGTAGAAAAGGTGGAATGGAAAAGGTGTTGATGTTACCAGCAAGCAGCTACGCAAAGGTTAGATCATCCAGTGATTGCTACGTAGGAATTGCTATTGCTGAACACCCCATTTCCAGTATATTCTTTTTTGAACGTAGCAAATCATGACTTTTCTTAGGAGAAGCGGAATGATGCATTATCCCATCTTCTTGATCGTATTCGTGGCTGTGCCGCTGTGCTGCTTTCCAAGCGCTGAATGGAAACTCTTTCCCAGAATAGCATCTTTCCCAAATCAGTATAAAGTAAGTGCGGACCACTTCTAAGCGATTATACGTTGTTAATGAAGTACTCATCATTCCTCCGTATATTTGTTAACCGAATTAGTATGTTTAGGTGTTTACTCAGAGGGCCACATGGATGGAAGCGGAGTACATCTGTAAAACTAATGGCGGGCATTTAGCTTCAATCTTGTCGGATGGAGAAAATGAGTTCATATATAGTAAGCAAATGCTTTATGACTAGGTTGTGGAGAAATATTGAGTCTTTGAACTTTTCGGTGACATTCTTCAATGTATGAACTGGATAACAAAAAGTAGCCTGCCTTCATTGCAGATTGGGTCAGATGTATTAGGAGGTTCTCCTGACGGCGATCCAATCAATATCCAATACTTCTTTGCTTTTTATTCCTAATGCTTCTAGATGTAAACCAAACAATCATGAGAAAGCCAGTAGGTGCAGGCTTTGGAAGGCTCCAGTAAAAGAAGTCCGACCCCTAGTTCCAAGCAATATTTTGATCAGAAGCCAGTAATGCCTGCATTACCTCGACAAAAAGCTCGAAAAATAGCCGCAGCGTCATGAATGTGTGTTTGTCCCAAAAATGCGTAAGCGGATAGAAATCGCTTTTTCATTCTTGCTAAAGGATATGGCACCTGCGCTCTGGTTCCGGAAATCAGATGCTCGTCGAGTCGGGTGTGGGTACTTAAGACAGAACGCGACTTTTTCGCTCTTCGTAACGCGACATCACGCGGCAAGCTGGCGCACCGCAGCGAAAAGAACTACAGTATAGGAGAACGCGCGATTGGAGCACGATATTTGTGTCGTCTTTGATTGCAGTAAACTTCTGCATAGGCGTTTGGGGCCCTGATCATGAATATGACACTCATTTTTCACATTCGTGCTGTTTAACGCATACTTTCTGTTTTTCTAAGCTTTCTCACCTACAGCGCCAACGACTAAGCTTAGGGGAGGGGAGTGAAACACCGGAGTGGGTAAACCACACACCGTGAGCAAAGTTGGAGTGTGTCAGACCACAGGGGAATGGCCTACCCTCTTCGGAGCCCTACACTACTCAAAGGCTTAGTCCTATTGCGATCTAATTAGTGCTAGTGCGCAGACGAGCAGGAAGCAGGCGCCGAATAGCGCTAACAACAAATCAGGACCTCGAATAACTCCTATACAGAAGTTTACAGCGAATTTAGTGGGAATTAGTTGTGGCGCCACCCGGCCCCGAATGGCGCCAGCGTCATAAATGAGTATCACATCCGTAATGAAGACAGAAGCGTTCCGTAAAAGATGTTATACCCTTATACAGATGTCTATACAACAGTATGAACTCACAAAATGCAAGCACAAGCGACACTATTAAGCCCTCGTTCACCGATAATTCGTAAAACACCATTTGTGTGGCATCGCCCGGTATCGTATAAGTTACGAAACGTTTTCAATAATCCTTCTATTTTATGAAGCGCTAACTTTGTGTGTCGGTTTGTATGTCGTGGATTCAAAGTTCCACCGTTTCTAGCTCTCACCTGCGCTTGCAGCACGTTTTAACCTAAAAATTCCAGTCCCCCGAGCCAGAGAATTGTTTCAGCTTGCCAGTGAATTGGAATGTGCGACGAAAGGTGTAAGGAGACCCACTGCTCTAATATCCAACGCTTCTGTATACTTTCCGTGTGATCATTATCCTTACAGTTCATACTGTTGCAATCTGGTGTCCCGTGTCCCCCACCCACGCAACGTGTAGAGCTAATATTTACGGTCACCACGAAGGCTGCACGAAATAGTAGTCCTCGAAAATCCTAATTTCCTTATCAGCATGCTTGTTATCAATTTTGATTACTCCGCTATCTCTGTTCCGTCCCATGTGAGAGCCAAGCTCGCAATGTAACGCAAGGCCACACGAAACTGGTGTATCCCCGCTTTGACGTCCTTACAGTTCTTCATGCAGCTTTGGCTTCACCCCACATTTCTTTCGTCCTTTCCCAACTTACACTACATTCTCGGTACTATGGACGTACACTATTCACTTGGCGTGACCCATACACTCACCACAGCATAAGAAGGGAGGGATGATAAACTATGACGCTAAGACTTCAATACCCTACGTCAAGGAGCGTACCGTATCGGCACGAAGCATGTGGTGACAGTCCCAGCATTTTCTCCAGTTAAGTCGTCGTATACTCACACATGACACTATACAGTGAGTTATTCACTTTTCACCCACGTTGCTATTAAAAGTTACCAAGAAACTGCGAAACGTGTCATACCACTTTCTGAATAGATACTTGAGTAAGTTTGAGCGCTCTCGTGTTCAAAGAGGGTGAAAGTAGAAATGTTGCGCGTCGAGAAACACAGGCTTGTGACTCACTCAGCCAGCTTTAAAGTGTTATTATCATAACACCAGAGTTAGTCCCCTTTTTCTTTTACCCCATTTGCAACTCCGATCTTCACCCCGATTAGCTGAGGTACCTGCTTCCTTTTCCTGCGAAGCGATGCACTTTCTATCCATCTGAAAAAGATCAATCCGCCTTGCTCTGGTCATTTCCTCCTTATCGCGACCTTTCGTCGTGAGGACAAGTGCGCGTATCAACACACATGAGTTTTTCAAAACAGTAAAGGACACACATCATGATATGACGTAAAGAATTTTTCGCTTCCTTCTAATCCCCCCTTTCCTTCTCCATGCTCTCCAGCTGCCACTAGGCAACATCTCAATGTGAAAGAATCGAGTAGTCTATAAGCAGGCAGATTTACGTGTTTCAATACAAGCACCTGAAACGCGTGTTATCACAACTATTTCGCTGCTAGCAAGAATAAAAACAAATTGTATATCTCATGAGATCCTGTAAATTTGCTAACGCCCGATTTGTTAGCGGTTTTGTTTATCCCATGAGCTTCTTCTCATCACTTAATTTTGGCGAGCGCCACCATAACTACACACGCAATTCACACCACACTCACACATACAGATACCACCCGAACAACAAATTAGCGTTTATATATTACCAGATTAGTCCCCCCGTCAACCGCGGGACCTTGCTTTAATGCGCATGCTTTCTATACTGCCGTTTAATGGTCACGTTCCTCCTGTGCCAAACACCTGAGAGACGCGTATTGCAACACAATGGTAGTTTCATGCCGTAGCAGGATCACAAATCATGATATGAACTAGATTTTCGCTGCCTTCCTCATCCTCCCATCCCTCTTCCACTGCCTCCAGCTGCCACTGCAGCACATGTGAATGACGGTAAAGTGTGCTTAAGCAGTGTGTATTATATAGCTCCTTAAAGAGTTGTTATCACAATATCCGCTCAAACATTGTATTCCTCAAATCCTGTACTAACCGATTTGTTAGGCGGTTTTGTTTCCCATGAGCTTCCTTCTCACCTCTACTTTCATTTGGGCCGGACCCATACATAAATACATCACACGTGCACACACACACACCCTCACACACATCCATACAGATACACAAACCGACACTCAAAGTTATCTGCTTATATAAAGAATGTTATATTATAGGTCGGCTAGCGTTGCCGTGA